ATTGGAAGTAAGAGTCTTGATGATTTGTCTGCTGGGCTGGCTTTGAATCATGATCCTCAGATTTCAGCCTCCTGAATAGCTAGGATTATGGCATGAGCCACCAGCACTCAGCCTTAGTTTTTTGTTTTGTGTTTTTAGAATTTGACTATATTATGCCCTGGAACCATGATCCTCCTGCCTCAGCTTTTCCCAGTGTTGGGATTACAGGTGTGCACCACCACACTGGGCTTGGAGTTTCCGTAAAAGCTGAATTCCAGCTCTTTTTTAATTAGCCGTTAAAGTGAAGATAATTTTCCAAATCAAATGTTTCCTCACTCTATGTGAAACAGAACAAGAAGTCCAGATTGTGATGGATTTCCTCTCCTGCACACACTGAAATGGCCACATTTGCTGTTATAGAATGCACCAAAGAGGAACATGCGTGCTTGTTTACTCTGGCTGATGGCTGCAGCAGATGCTCTCTCTCTCTCTCTCTCTCACCTTCTTTTACTGATGGAAATCTGCAGCACATGGAGCACATTGCCACATTTTCCTCTAGCAATGGCATTAAAAGAATGTAAGGAGTCAAATCCAAAGAATCTAGCCTAAACCAAATAATTCAAACCACGAAGTCCAGACTGGTTTTTTTTTTCACTTCTCAAAATAACTGGAACTGAGTACATACAAAACCTCTACTTTTCTTCGCCCATACAGACATTGCCACAGTTACAAACAATACTTCTGTGTGTGTGTGTGTGTGTGTGTGTGTGTGTATGTGTGTGCCCATACTAGGGCTTGAACTCAGGGCTCACATTCTTTTCTTTTTCCATTTCTTCTTTCCTCTTCCTCTTCTTCTTTTTTTCTTCTTCTTCTTCGCTCACATTCTTTTCTTTTCTTTTTCCATTTCTTCTTTCTTCTTCAGGGCTCACATTCTTTTCTTTTTCCTCCTCCTCCTCCTCCTCCTCCTCCTCCTTCGCCAATCCTGGGGCTTGAACTCAGGGCCTGGACTCTGTCCCTAAGGTCTGGGCTCAAGACTAGCACTCTACCACTTGATTTTTTTTTTTTTTGGGTCCGGTCATGGGGCCTGAACTCTGGGCCTGGGCACTGTCCCTCAGGCCCTCTACCACTTGAGTCACAGCGCCACTTCCAGCTTTTTTCTTTTTGCTTATGTGGTGCTGAGGAATCGAACCCAGGGCCTCATGCATGCAAGGCAAGCGCTCTACCACTGAGCCAACTTCCCAGCCCGCACTCTACCACTTGAGCCATAGCTCCACTTCCAGCTTTTTCTGTTTATGTGGTACTGAGAAACCTAACCCAGGGCTTCATGCATGCAAGGCAAGCGCTCTACCACTAAGCCACATTCCCAGCCTTAGGGCACACATTCTTTCCAGCTCAAGGCTAGCACTCTACCACTTGAGCCATACTTCTACCTTTTTGCTGGTTAACTAGAGATAAGAATCTCTCAGATTTGCCGGGCGCCCTTGGCTCACACCTGTAATCCTAGCTACTTAGGAGGCTGAGATCTGAGGATCGTGGTTCAAAGCCAGCCCAGGCAGGAAAGTCCGTGAGACTCTTATCTCCAATAAACCACCAGAAAACCGAAAGTGGCACTGTGGCTCAAGTGGTAGAGCGCTCGCCTTGAGCTGAAGAGCTGAGGGATAGCGCCCAGGCCCAGAGTTCAAGCCCCATGACCGACAAAAAAAAAAAGAATCTCACAGATTTGTCTGTCTGGGCTTGTCTTTGAACAGTGATTCTCTGATCTCAGCCTCCTAAGTAGCTAAGATTACAGGTGTGAGTCACTGGCGCTTAACGATTCTTCATTTTCAAAGTCAAACTTACACTATTCTTTGGTCCTGTACAACTACCTTTGCATTAAATTTACATCAACAATATAGGTGAAGTGAAGATGATTTTATGTAACTTCAAGTACCAGTACAAGTTAGGAAAGACTAAGAGTGTCAATGGTAGCTAGCTTTGTGCTTCATAAGAACCTTACAGAAAAATTCAACCAATGCTAGAGTCATCTAAAAGCAGATCATGTCAACCAGTCAAGAATCCAAGAAGTCTACTATGGTGGGGCAAAACTGTAGTCCTAGTATTAGGGAGGCTCAGGCAGGAGATCTCAAAAGGAGACTTGTGTTTGCTCTCAAGGCTGATGGTCTATTACTTGACTATAGCTCCACTTTCAGCATTTTGGTGGTTAATTGGAGAAAAGAGTCTCACAGACTTTTTGGCTTGGGCTGGTTTGAAACTGTGATCCTTAGATCTCAGCCTCCTGAGTAGCTAGGATTGCAGGTGTGAGCCACTGGCACCCAGCTGATGCACAGGATTTTTGTTTTGTTTTGTTTTAAAGATTAAAGAAAAGCCAAGCATCAGTGGCTCACATCTATAATCCTAGCTACTCAGGAAGCTGAGGTCTGAGGATCATGGTTCAAAGCTAGCCTGGCTGGGAAAGTTAATGAAATTCTTTTGTTGTTGTTGGTTGTAGGGCTTGAACTCCAGGCCTGGGTGCTGTCTCTGAGCTCTTTTGCTCAAGGATAACACTCTACCATTTTGAACCACAGTGCCACTTCTGGTTTTCTGGTGGTTAACTGGAGGTAAGAGTCTCACAAACTTTCCTGCCTGGGCTGGCTTTGAACTGCAGCCCTCAGATCTCAGCCTCCTAAGTAACTAGGATTACAGGTACGAGCCAGGGGAGCCCAACCTGCCCATGAGATTCTTATTTCCAATTAACTACCAAGCAAGCTGGAAGGGGAGCTGTGGCTCAAGTGGTATATGGCTAGGCTTGAGCAAAGAAGTTTAGGGACAACACACAGGCCCTGAGTTCAAGCTCTAGCACTGGGGCTACACACACACACAAGATTAAAGGTCTGGGGATGTGGCTCAGCGGTAGAGTGCTTACCTAGCATGCATGAAGCCCTGGGGTTCAATTCCTCAGAAATAGCCAGAAGTGGCGCTATGATTCAAGTGGTATAGCACTAGCCTTGAGCACAGAGAGGCTCAGGGACAGAGCCCAGGCCCTGAGTTCAAGCCCTAGGACTAGCAAAAAAAAAAAAAAAAGATTAGAACTGGTACTTTGCCTCACGTGGTAGAATGCTAGCCTTGATCAAAAAAAAAAAAAAAAAAAAAAAAAGATTAAAGAAAACTGGCATCTTCTATAGCGATAGAATCATGCTTATTTTGAGGGCTCAGTTTTGTCTCATTGTTCTAAAATAGTACCTTGTCATAAACCTGCTTAATAGATCAGAAGACCAGTGAGTAACTGAACATACTTCTGCGTGGTTAGGAAAACCACATTACTGAACTGTTAGTCGCTGGCTTGTGACATTTACAAGAACCATTGCGATTTTCCCATAAGTACTGCAAAAAAAATTTTTTTTTTAATTAAAAATCCTTCAAGTTTCCACTTGTATGTAGGAATGGAGGAAAGTAGAGCAGAGTAACCTTGAGTGGCTATGAAGTGTTTACAAACGTTTTGAGATAGGCAGATAAGCAGGTCTTACGGACACGGCCTACACAGTTATCACCAGCCATGTGCAGTCTCAGGAGAAATTTCAGAGTATCAGGGTGGTCCACATGTTACTATTTAGCATTTCAATTTCATGTCAGAATCAAAACAGAAAAAAAAATTGGAAATTCAATGAGTCATCTGTGGCCTGCAAAAAATGAGGCCTCCCCCCTCAAAAAAAAAAACACCAAACCCAACAACAACCAGTAATTAACATATTTTTGAGAAGCAAACTTCAGTTTGGGTTTTAGAGCACGATTGCAGCTATTCCTTTGTTCATGTAGTTCAAGGATGTAGATATTTAGAGTTTATTTTTAGGGGCTTATGTACCCACAATGATTTTTATCTTTTTAAAGCTTCAAATGGGTATACAATGGAGGTAACAATTTAACAAGTCCATTTATATGTCCAGTTCATCTTTTTTGGCCATATGTTTTGTCAAGATGATGTACAGAGGAATTACAGTTACATAAGAAAGGTAGTAAGTACAAGTCTTGTCAACCAGTTCATCTTTTTTTTTAAATATATTTTTATTTTCTTTAGGTAATTGTTCAAAGGAGTTGCGATTCATCAGAGCAGTTTATGAATACAGTGACTCTAGATCAACGTCTTTTAACATTTACCCACCTCTGCCCTTACTTTTTGCCTAATTCATCTTGATCAAAGTTACCCCTTCCATCATTTTCCCTCATCTCCCAGAGTCTGGGTTCTGAGACCTTGAGTTTTTGTGCTCTCTCATTTGAGCCACAGCTCCACTTCCAGCTTTTTGGTGGTTAACTAGAGGTAAGAGTCTCACAGACTCTCCTGACTGGAGCTGGCTCTGAACAGTGATCCTCAGATCTCAGCTGATACCTAACTGCTGATTGGGTGATGACTTAATTGCCCAGTTGTGACAATGTTACAGCAAGTGAACCTCCATGATGTAGAAAGTATTTCTCTGAAACAGCCATAGCTTTCTTAGTGGGCCACAACACAAGTGTCTAGCAGGTATGGCTTTGTTTAGTCCATTTTGATCGACTAAGTTTTTAACCAGGCCGTATTCTATTTCAAGGTCATTGTATTGCAAAACCTTGCTGTGTGGTTGTAACATAGCCTTGTCTGTTGTAACCCAGAGAGGAAAGAGGAAAAGAGGGGGGGGGTGGGGGAGGAGCATGAGAAAACCTGAGAGAGCACAAGAAAGAGCAAAAGAGATTGAAGAGCACACTGTGTAACTTTCTCATGAAGGTTTCTTAGTAGATAACTTGATTTGGGAAGCAAAATACTGTAAGTCTTTTGATTATCTAACTATACAAGGTTTTGCTTTATTTTAGCCAAATATTAGGGTGGTTCTTTGCAAAGACTTGAAAGTTATTTGTGTGTGTGTGTATGTGTGTGTGTGTGTGTGTGTTTGCATCGGTACTGGGGCTTGAACTCAGGGTCTGGGTTCTGTCCTTTAGCCTTTTCTGCCATGGCTGGCACTCTACAACTTCAGCCACAGCTGCACTTCTGACACGTGGTCATCTAAATACATGATTTTCATCTTGACAGTCCGAGAATTACGAAGGCTGATGAAATAGCAATGTTTGATCATCATTTACAGGATGTAAATGAGGTATGTACTTCTATGTCATTCCTTTTAGGGTTTCAAGGTTTGAAATGGACGTGAAGGATAAAAAGAACGAGAGGAACTGCGCATGAATGGCTTTGAACCTCGATCCTCAGATCTCAGCCTCCTGAGAAGCTAGGATTACAGGCGTGAGCCATGGGCTCCAGGCCCCCTTTACCTTGAGATGGCACTCCTTTGGAGGTAGCCACCACCATTTAAGGCAACAAGATCCCCTTAGAGTGACCTTCAGGTCTGAGCAGCTCCAGGGCCCCTTATCTACTACTTGGGCAGCAGTCATAAATCCTAGTCCACCGATGAAGCCCCTGGTCCTCAGGTCCACAGGAGGGTCTCTGCTTCCTAGCCCCTTCTAGCCCCTCCTAGCCTCAGTAGGCCATATAGGTCACCTCAGGCAATAGCTGGCATTTCTTCTCAATTCTCTCTTGTGGGAAGGGTCTTCCCAGGCCCTTTACTAGCAATAAACCTTTTGTTCTTTGTACCTGAATGAATGTCTGTCTGGTTTTTCGGTAAACTCTAATATGAGAAAGTCTCAATGAAAGAGAGTAGGAGGGAGGGGGGAAGGGAGGAAGAGAAAAAGGGGGAGGTTGGAGGGGGAAGAGAAGGTAAGGAGGAGAGGGGGAGAGGGAGGGAGAAGGGGAGACAGGGAGAGAGAGGAAGAGACAGGGAGAGTGTGTGAAGGAACGGGAAAGGGCTTTTTTTCCCCTTTAGCTGAGGATTTCATTAGGAGACCTGGCCATGAGGTAGCTCATGTTTGTTTTGCTTTGCCTTCTGTTTTTCTTGGTTTTCCTCACAACTGAGATACTATTAAGATCCTAACAAATTCTAGCCCTTTGGGGGGATATTGACTTGGGGAGAGGAAACCTGACCTTTTAGTTTCTGTTAACTAGGTCTCTTCTGCTTCAAACCCAACTTCAGTACATCTTACCATTTTCCCCTCTTGAGTATTTTATAATCAGGACTGTAATTGTTTGAAAGACTTCTCTGATATCTCATTGCATGACCCATAATTCATTTTGTGAATAGTTGTCCCAGTTCTTAATTACATAGCTTCTAACAACCTATGGATATGGGTAGAATTGCTGTTAATTATCATCATTATCAGAAGCATTCAGGTCTATATATATCCACACAAGTGAGTACTTACAAAGGAAATTCCACATACATTCCCTTTACTCAATCAGCTACTAATAACCCTGACAAAAGACAATTAGCTTCTGAGCAGATTTCCTGCTTTCCCTCCCCCCCTTTTTTTGGCTGTTTGAACTCAGGGTCTAGGCACTGTCTCTGAGTCTCTGAGCTTCTTTGTGTTCAAGGCTAGCGCTCTACCACTTGAGCCACAGCACCATTCCCAGTTTTCTCTGAGTACTTATTAGAGGTAAGAGTCTCATGGCTTTTCCTGCCAGCCTGGGTAGGAAAGTCTGTGAGATTCTTATCTCTAATTAAACACTAGAAAACCAAAGTGGCATTGTGGCTCAAGGGATAGAGTACTTGCCTTGAGCTGAACTCTGAGTGCCCAGGCTCAGAGTTCAAGCCCCATAGCCAAGAACAACCACAAAAAAAAGAAGAAGAAAAGAAAAAAAAAGGTAAAGGAGGCTGGGGGCTTATTATTTACAGCCTTTTAAATGCACCTAATGTTGCCCAAGAAAAGGGTATGCTAAGCTATAGGGAAGGAGCTCATTAGGCTAACATATATAATTTTTAACCTACAAGCCAGTGCCAGTGGCTCATCTTTTGTAATCCTAGCTACTCAGGAAGCTGAGATCTAAGGCTTGTGGTATAAAGCTAGCCGGAGCAGGAAAGTCTGTGATATTCTTCTTTCTAATGAACTACCAAAAAAGCCAGAAGTGGAGCTATGGTTCAAGTGGTAGAGTGCTAGCCTTGAGCACAAAAGCTCAGAGAAGAGAATGCCCAAGCCCTGAGTTTGAGCCCCCGGACTGGCACAAAAATAAATAAGTAAATAAAATAAGAACCTACAAAATGTTTCTCTGAAGAAAAAAAGTTGGAATGTTAACTTCCCATTTCAAAGAGTGTATGTAGGGCCAAAAAATATTGAGGTGTTTCTTCCCTCCCCCCGCTCCCCCTTTCCCCCGGTCAATTGTGGGGCTTGAATTCAGAACCTGGGAGCTGCCCTTGAGCTTTTTCTGCTCAAGGCTAGCACTCTACTGCTTGAGCCACAGCACCATTTCCAGCTTTCTGATGGTTAATTGGAGATAAGAGTCCCATGGACTTTCCTACCTGGGCTGGCTTTGAACCATGATCCTCAGATCTCAGCCTCCTGAGTAGCTAGGATTACAGGAATGAGCCACTGGCACCTGGCTGAGGTTTGTTTTTTGTTTGTTTTGTTTTTGGCTTCATAGAAAAGATCCCCTGGAACTACAAGCTACTAATCATGTCCAAAGACACGGTCTCTTCACAAACAACACATATATCATTGTCTTTCCTGCTCCAGTTTCAGGGAGAGACAGAACTTTCTCTGCAGCTGCTTCACATCTGGAACAAAGCCATGCTGTATATTCTAGGCACTCACTTAAGCCCCACATCTTATCCTCTGCCACTGCATGTGGTACAGAAAAGAAGCAAAGTCTTTTAAAAGACACCTTGGACCTACCCAGACAGCAGAACCCATCTATCCACTTGCCCCAAGACCCTCATTTGCTCAAATCGGCTTCTATTCATTTATTCAAATTCTTTAATTTTGCCTGTAATCCTAGTTACTCAGAGGCTGAGAGCTGAGGATCTCGATTCAAAGCCATCCCAGGCAGGAAAGTCCGTAAGACTCTTATCTCCAGTTAACCAGCAAAAAGCCAGGAGTAGAGGTGTGGTTCAAGTGGCAGAGCACCAGCTTTGAGCATAACCGCTAGGGATAACACTCAGGCCATGAGTTCAAGTCCCAGTACCAGCACACATATGCATACATACACATACACACACACCAAACAAAAATTCTTTAATTTCTTTGTTCTGAGATGGACATTGTCAATTCTTCCCCAAATATGCATGTGTGTAATATGTATGTGTAAACTGGTGCTTGAACTCAGCCTCAAGCTCTTCTTTAGCTTTTTCATTCAAGATTGGTGCTCTACCACTTGAACCACATTTCTACTTCAGGCTTTTTGCTGGTTAACTAGAGATAAGAGTCTAGGGGCAGGGCTGGGAAGGTGGCTCGGTGGTAGAGCGCTTGCCTTGCATGCCTGAGGCCCTGGGTTCGATTCCTCAGCACCACATAAGCAAAATGAAAAAAGCCAGAAGTGGCACTGTGGCTCAAGTGGTAAGAGCGCTAGCCTTGAGCTGAAGAGCTGAGGGACAGCGCCCAGAGTTCAGGCCCATGACTGGATCCCCCCCCCCAAAAAAAAAGAGTCTGGGGGCAATTTTTTGTCTGAGTTGTCTTTGAACTGTGATCCTCAGATCTCAACCTCCTGAGTAGTGAAATTAGATGGGAGTCACCAGTTCAAGTTTCATCTTTAACTCTTTCCAACAGACTAACCTACTTCAACTTTCCTGTTGCTAGGGAAACTCTTGCATATGATCAGTTTATGTCTATTTTGTGTTAGTGTAAGTTCCTTATGAATAGGCTCCCTGTGTTCTGTCCGTATGATTTGTTTTGTGTTGTGTTTTTTTTCTGTCAAGGACTCAGTAATATTCTGAAGTTCTGTTTTTCCTTTAAAATAGAGCATTAGTTTTAGTATTAAAAAATCCTTTGACATCAGATTTTGTAGATTAAATTTACACAAGCAAGTTGTTAGATTTCATTTCTGTTCCTTCAGAAAAATAAAACTAAAGCTAAGTGAAAGGTCGGCCAGGCGTGGCAGTGCAAGCTGTAATCCCTGCACTCAGTAGGAAGGGGCAGGAAGGCCGTGAGTTCAGGCTAGCCTGGGCTGGTGTGTGTGTGTGTGTGTGTGTGTGTGTGTGTGTGTGTCTCTCTCTCTCTCTCTGTTTCCACCCCCCCGAAAGGGTTAAACATGCTAGCAAAGAAAACCTCCAAACCAAACCCACTCCTTATCCTAATTTATAGTTTCACTACTGGCTACATTCTTTTTCTGCATCCTTTTTTTAGTTTGTTCCTTGGATCTATTTCTTACATTTTTTTTTAATATACTAACACTAATCTCTACTTTCTCCTTCTAAATGAAGCCCAAACATGGGTTTTGCCAGGCACCAGTGGCTCACGCCTGTAATCCTAGCTACTCAGGAGGCTGAGCTCTCAGGATTGAGGTTCAAAGCCAGTCCATACAGGAAAAGTCTGTGAGACTCTTATCTCCAATTAATCACCAGAAAATCAGAAGTGGCGCTGTGGCTCAAGTGGTAGAGCACTAGCCTTGAGCTAAAGAGCTCAGGGACAGTGCTCAGGCCCAGAGTTCAAGCCCCATGACCAACTGAAAAATTTAAAAAGTGGGGTTTGTGGTTGTTGTTTGAAAGAGGGTCTCCATGTGTATACAGGCTGGCTTAGGATTCACTACATAGCCCAGGCTGGCCTTGAAAGTGTAATCTTTCTGCCTCAGCCTCCTGAGTGCTGGAATTACAGGTAAGCATTACCATGCCTGGCACAAAAGAGTGTGAGTTGGGCACCACTGTCCTATCCCTGTAAAACCTACCTACTCAAGGAGTAGAGATTCAGAAGATCAAAGCCAGCCTGGGCAGAAAAGTCTTTGAAACTTCATCCCCAAAATAAACAGCAAAAAGCCAGGCTAGAAATGTGGCTCAAGTGGTAGAGTGCCAGCTAAGTGAGCAAGATGAGCAAGCACAGGACCCTGAGTTCAAGCCCAACTACTGGGACAAAAATAGTGTTTTGAAGATCCTGGAATGTAATGATCTCTGTATCACTTTTTATCATCTTCTATCCTTTAACCATTAATGTGAAGCTAGTATTAAGCCATGAGACCATATTTAGGCAACACAATACCTTGACTAAGTTTTGTTTAATACCCGCTTTCTGCTTGAAGAACATAACCATTTTATAGCTGGGAAGTAAACAGAATTCTTCATCATTT